CAATACAGTAATACGTACGTATCTAATACGTAACGACAATATCAGATATGAACTTACATTATGTCAGGTGATTTATGATTTATGGCATTGAAGAAAAATATTGGGTCGACGACAAAGTAGGTATTGCCTAAATTATCTCATGTAGCTCTCCCTAAACAAGGAGAAAAATATAATACGGGAGAAACGGGAGAAAATACTATTTATATGCATTCGATTATTGATACGTACATATGTACGATAACTGACATTAACTGCATATAGATAATACTAAATTATTTGTTCTTGCATTTAATGTGGTTGTACGGTATTTACATGCGCCATTGTTTACAAATCAACCACGGACGTTTATTAATAAACAGATAAACAAAAATTAAAAATGTGAAAATTGGGAGACTCGATAAATAGAAAGAGAAAAGGAGTTGAATTTCAATTTTTTTTTTTTTTTTTTTTTCATTTATTTCATTTAAAAACATTTGAAAAAAAATATATATCACGAATTAGTCACTAGAAAAAAAAATGCCTGAAAAATCTGGAAATAATTGGTAAATGAAAAAAATGAATTGTCGGTGCATATAGAACACGTGATAATACTGTAATATATTAAGACTACCGGTAAATTAATTTCTAGGCCACCATGTTGTTCAATTATTCGTTATGATGTTCAAAATGATATCATTGAGAAAAGAGCTCGCCAAATGATTGAAAGTTCTTATAGAGTATATTTAAGTATGTGTTAAATTATATATATTTATTCAAATACCTTTTAAATTAATACTAAACTTACATTTACATATAAAATATACTGTATAGTCTATTACATTATATTGCTTTTCAATCTTGGTGCAATAATCGCAACGGCTGTACAATATGGTATTTCAGAAGGCTTTGTTCAAATTATAATCGCTACGATATATCTAGCGATATGGCCAATTGCAGATTTCGTGTTTAGGCATATGAATTTGTACCAAGGATTCAAGTAAGTCTTTAAAAAAAAAATCAATTATATTATTATGTAACATAAAACTCTAATACAGTTTTTTTTTTTTTTAGAAACGAAAATAAAAAGGCATTCCACTACTTCTTTTTTGCCGCCCTAATAGATGTTATATTTGGTTTATTCCTATGCACAGGTTGGTTCTCAGGTGGTTGTGGTGGTATCATCGCAACAATCGAGAACTTTAACTATGGCAGGATTTTGGCCGCTGGATTTACGATTGTTAGCACGGTGCTAACATTAGGGCATGTTATATTACACTTAAAGTTATGCCGAGAGGTATTTGAAAAGAAGATTAATTTTGTTTTTAGTGCTTATATTCGTATATTCATACGCAAATTTCATACGTAAATTTTATACGATAAATCTTTTAAAGATATTAATATACTCGGATATTATAGTAGTTTTTTCACCACACTAATATCCTCGGGTCTTTTAATCAGTGCGACGCACTACATTCTCTATTAAAGAGTATTCGTCTACCTTTAATTATCAAAGATAAAGTCATGAAGTTTTTTTAATAATTACTACAGTATAAAAATTTAGTGAAAAGTGTAGTAGTATTATTAAGGCTCATAACTTTATTTTACCCGGTGATAAAAATAAGGCGAATATCTTTTAGTAGGTATATATACATTATATAATATTATATTATAAGTCTTTATTATATATTATAATAATTATTGTAAGGATTTATAATATATAATTATGAATATGTATAAATATTTTTAAATTTTTATATATTTATTAATATGTGAATATAAGCATTAGCGCTAAGGATGGCAGAAGCTTTTTATTACGTAATTAAAAACAGGTGATGCTTATGATCTTAAATATGTTAATTCACAGATTTAACTATTTGGACTTTAATCATCACCTGTTTTAATTGGTGAAAAAATGTTTAAAACTGTTATTTACTATCCTAATTAGCACTAAGTTAAAATTATGAAGGAAAAGTTTATTTATTTACATTTCTCAAAATAGGTTCGAATATTTTATATGACAAGGTGTAAAGACGAAAAACCCGAAATTGATGATTTTTGAGAACCGGCTTAGTCTAGCATTACTTCTTAATTCTTGCAATTTTAATATTTGTATTTTTAAATTCATTCTGTGTAATTAATAATGTTATCGTTAATACGTATATATAATGTTTATCACTACTGCACTACGTACTAGTATGCAACCTGTTTTATGTTCATTGATAGTCTGTATTTAGAAAGAACATTTAATTAAGCACCATATCAAATTAAATATACATATTTAAATTTATACATATATATACGTATGTATTGTTTTAACTATTTTTTTGTTGTAATACATATAAGAATAAAGAAATATCCCTGATATTTTTTAAAATATCAGTATTTTATGTTGTTTTGATCCACAAGAGTACAATGTGTATCAATTATAGAAAATTTTTGTCCATATGGCTTATATGCAAATTAGAATAATATATAATTGATTATATATGGCATTGCGTTTTTATCCGGGTAAAATTAACGTTACCGTTACCCACTACACTATCATATGTATATTTTAATTAGTACTTCGTTAAACGGAATTTGGTTTAACTAATACGTAACTTATGAAATAATTAACTAAAAATAAACATGTAAATTTAACTGGTCACATACTTTAAATGCTATGCATGTCGATATCGATATACTTCGCTCTGTTTCATGGTACATATATTTTGTTAATGTCTCTTTTTTTTGCTTTCATTTAAAATTCTGACTTAATACTTTCTTTTCAAAAACCTTCCTTTTAAACTCATACTTTTCTTACTCTCCTTAAATAACCAACTCAAAAATGGCTGAAGTCATAGACTATCGAGTTTCTCGAATTGTAGTCCTTTGTAAAGACTGTGGTCATGATGTTGGTCTCTATCCTGCTCGTCACAAATGTGTGTTGCTCGGTTCCGATTCCATCCCAGTTCCTCCTATTCCAAACCTTTCCACTAAAAATAAAAATAATAATGATGGTAATGCTTCTGGGTTGTGGGGTAAACTTAGATCTGTAAATAACTGGAAAAACGTATCTGAAGGTGAATTTATTCTTTCAAAAAAATTTTCTTGCATTTCTTCTTAGAAAATTTGCTAATATATTATAATATATTTTTTTAGATGCTTCTATCGCACCTACTATATCACAACCCACACAAGGTTCTAAACTATGGGATAAATTGTTGAGTGCCGCTGCTTCTTATAATTCTAATAATGATGATGATTCCGAATGTGGTATGAAAAATTTTAAATTTATAAATTTATTAATTTTATTAATTTAATTATGCAAAGTTTGATCCATATATTTATAAATACTAGAATCTGAAGCAGAAGGTTGGGAAGGTGAAACTCACATTTCCCGTATATTACGTGAATATCATCAGCAAAAAAATGGTGATATCCCTGATTGGTTATTTGATTCTAATAATAAATCCAATTCGGATGATGATGATATTAATAGGGGCAGGAAATTAGGGCTACCAATTGTAATTGACACAAATCGTGTCAATACTTCTTCAGATAGATTTGCTAACCGTAATGATCAAAGAAAATTCCCATCTTCTTTACCGAACAATTTTGATTTAAATGTGGTCAATGATAAGACCAATAATACTCTCAAACCACCTGCCTACCAAAGAGCAGGTGCTGATAAATCTTATTCAAACTCCAATAGAGCAAGGAGTGCCAGTCCAAATCCTTATAATAATAATAATTTTTTAGCTTCGCCTCGTGATGCCGATCCTTTATATAATCAACGGTCAGGAAACTTAGCTTCGCCTCGTGGTGGCGATCCTTTATATAATCAACGGTCAGGAAACTTAGCTTCGCCTCGTGATGGCGATCACCTATATAACCAACGGTCAGGAAATTTAGCTTCGCCTCGTGATGGCGATCACCTATATAATCAACGATCAGGAAATTATAGACAAGGTAGACAAGGTGGTTACTTTTAAGTTTTCTGGGAACTGATAAAATACACTCTGTATGCATGTCTTTAATGTTGGTGATTTTTAAACACAAACTATTAGATGATAAATTAGAAACTTAATACCAAATTTTTTCTTAAAAAAAAAAAAAAAAAAAAAAAGGACAATAATATTATAATAATAATAATATAATAATTAGACCATCCCGATCAACCATCCCGATCACTATGTCAATATCACGGGATTATCATAATAGTGTAAAAAATTCAAAGATAAAAGCTGTAAAAACTTTCTGAATTATTTATGGTGATGATGTCCCTGTTATTTATTTAAACATTATAATAAATTCGATTCCTCTAAAAGCTATTCATGATAATTAGATTTTTAAGGAATCAAAAATTGAAATCCACTATGAATAACAGCGTCGCGTAGTTTCATTAATAATTATTCTCGAAAATATATATCCTAGTTTTTTCGTCCTAATTTTTTTTTTTTAAATGGTTCTTTATCTATATGGCTTTATTAATTGCAATTAATTTTTTTTATATGTCATGCAACTAAAATCAATTAAATTATCATGAAATTAATTGAAACCCAATTAGTGAACAATTAATTGCAATTTCTTTCACTATACCAAATAGAGCGCTGCATATAATACCTATAAACGTTTTAAATGGCGAAAATAAAAATCACATGTATTTACAATCTGACGGCGAATATATGATACGTACTCTAATTACGTAAAAATTGCTACGCCACCAATCAATTAATTGATCAAAAATTGCAATTAATTATCCTACCAATCAATTGTTTGGTAGGCCTAATTTTAATGCCAATTCTCATAGTGCGAAGATGTCACGAAAATTCTCAGTACCCGGAGATATAAATTTTTTTTTTTTTTTTAAATTAGTGACGTAATGATAATAGACTATGAATTTTTTAAAAAATTCTTTTGACGTTAGTGCGTAAGGTAGGGAACCCGACACGCCTATAATTTGGCATGCCATACTATGATAAAAAATTTTTTCAAACGTTATTAAATTTTTTTAACCAATCAGATTACATGAATATAATTTATAATAATTTTACGTATAATAAAGGCGTGCCATAATGAGCTTTAAGCACTTTGGCATGCCAATGGCTATCGTGCCAGGTTCCCTAGCGTGGGGACGTTTCAATAGACCGTTCTTTTTTTTTAAAAAAAAAAATTGTTGTGATCGTACAATAAAGAATTAACCGTTACTGTAAAGTCGGACATTGAGGTTCCGTGCAGTGTTGTATGTTTTTGATGTCCAAAGTTCTTTTGGCATACTTTGTCCAAACGCCTAAGCATGTTCTTATGTAAAAATTTCTGTAATTTATATAATATATATATCAATATATATTATTTATTTTTATTAACACATCTCTTACGCATCTCTACAATAAATTATAGCATCTCTACAATAAATTATAGCATCTCTACAATAAATTATAATCATATAAAAGTTTTTTTTAATTTGAATAATGACCTCTTACTTTTCACCTAATTAAAGTCAATCATACTTTTTAATCCGGAAGTTGGCTCTAGAAGTTTCATATGAGTGCCGTCAAGAAAAACCTGTTCAAATAATTTTATTTTCTGAGTGCCGTCTAGGAAAATCTTTCAATTATATTTTATCCTCCTGAAAAATCTGATTATACGTAATTAAAAATTAGATTTCTAGTTGTTTGATGACACTATTTTTAGCGACTTGTGTACGAAAATGCGATCAAATCGATTTTATTTCTTTCATTAACTAATACCAACCACATACAGCAGCTAATTTTTTTTATTTTTTGATTATGTTATTAAATAAATAATATAGCTTTAAAATAATTAATCTCTATTTTGTTTAAGCAGTTTTTATATATATAATTTTTTGTTATTAGCTATTTATAGCATTATTAGTTTTAAAATACTGTAGAATAAAAAAGAATATAAATATGATTAATTTTGATATGATAGTAACATCATGGCCATATAATAATTATTTATCAAATTAATTAAATTTTAAAAAATAAAAGTAAAAAAGGATGTCTTATAGAGTAGGTGGGCAATATAAAAAATAAGCTTCACCGGTGATATTAATTTTTTAATATATTCACGTGATATTTGGCGAAATTTGCCCACCTATTCTATAGAACATTCTCAAATACGTAACAACTGCTAGGCAATAATAATATTATCATATAAGAGCAAAGAAATTAATAATATAAATCAGTGAATAAACCAAGTATCTTTTAGATATGAGAGCTTTTCAATAGAAAGGGAAGAGATCTACTTTTTGGCTTATTATTGCGGTTTGCAAAAAAAATGTGAAATTTGCAGATCAAAAAAAAAAAGTAATCGATGATTTCTGATTCTGATTGCCGATTTTTTTAACATTTTTTTGCAGAAATAAAAGTTGTAGATTCATAATTTTGTAACATATTTTGATTTAACATCTTTTGTAGGAATATATTTTGCATACTCTTCATGTTGTAAAGAACTTGATTGTGTAATATTAAATTTTGCTTCTTTTCTAGCCCGGTAAAATTTACTATTGCATGAAGAAAATTTAAAAGCTGCGCTAAATTCAATCTTATAAGGATTATTACATGATATTGCTAAGGAACTTTAGTATAACTTATATTTTCATTATAATAAATTTTAGAAGTTGATAAAAAAGACATTTGTGTATCCAAAGCATGTTTCAGGATAATAATTTTAGTAATTAGAAATGAATTTTTTTTAAAAAAAATGTATGCTAAATAAATATATATAAGACTTTATATGGCATAATATTAGTTGATATACATACGTCATCAGAAATAATGTTAAAAAAATCGGCAATCAGAAATCATTGATTTCTTTTTTTTTTTTTTGATCTGCAAATTTCACATTTTTTTTTGCAAACCGCAATAAATTGATTAATCGATTTCAACTATACCAACTAATTGATTTAATTGAATAATCGATTACTCATATGTAATAAATTAATACTAGTTATGTGTTATAAGTCAGGTATTTAATTTGATATCAACAAAGTTTACATCAGAATTGTTGCATTAATGGATATAGAAATTATTTAGAAAAATTTTGTAAGATTTTATTAGCAATTAGAGTTAAATATAGTAAGGATCAAATGTATGTTGTATAAGGTTATATAATAATTATATAGGATACAAGAGTAGAACAAGCGCCACCGGCATCCCTGTACAGTGACATGTAATGTGTAGTTAAGGTTGTGTTAGTTTTTATCATGAATTCTATTATAAGTTAATGTAAATAATTTGCTACAAAACTTACTCAAGCTGGTTTACAATAAATTACTGTAATTTCTATATAAATTACTATAAACCATTTTTTTACAAAACTTATTATCATTCTTTTCTAATGTGTTAGATTTGGTCAGTTTGTGATTTTTTGTGAGGTGCATTAGTACTATATATATAATTACTTAAATTTGTTATATTTAAGAAACTTAGTTCTGAAAATATAATGAATTTTGATCATGTCTGTATTATAATCATAGGACTTACAGAAATTGTAAAAAATCACATAGTGATTAATCCTATTAAATCAAAAGAGATAATGCAGTACACAATAGCTAAAGTTGAGTTTTTTTGTATTGATATTATCACAATTTTTATTACGAGTTATAGTAAAACATTCTTTTTAAAAATTATTTGCTATTCTAGTGATCGCAGTATGTAATTAAGGTTGTATAAAGTTTGCACAAAAATTTTCATGGTTTCTATTATGAGTTATATAAAAAATTTTGTACCACTTACCCACCATTCTGATAAGTTAGTTTGCATTAAAATTGTCATGGTCAAGCTTGAGTTAGTTTGTATTGAAGTTATTATTTCTTTTATAAAGAATTCTGTTGCAAAATTTCACTATTTTGGTACCTTCAGCATGTGATTAAAGTTAAATTAGCTTGTATTGAATTATTATATTAGAATTATTGTAATTCTACCATGAGATACTGTAAAAAATTTTGATATAAACTTGCTATTTGGTGACTGCAATTTTGGTTAAAGTTGAGATAGGTTGTATTGGCATTGTCCTGTATTTTTTATATAGTTGAGTTGGCTTGCATTAAAATTATCACAATTTCTATTGCAAGTTACTGTAAATATTTTGTTGGCATAGAACTTGCTATTCTGATAATAATGAAAAAATAAATTAGCTTGTATTAGAATTATCATAAATAATCTCTTTTATGTTATGTATCTATTCAACACATAATATACAGTTAAGGTTGAGTTTGTATTGAAATTATTGTGATTTGTTTATATTATGAATCACTGTAAAAAAATTTCATACAAAACCTGCTCGCAATTCTAATAATTACAATTATGGTTTATATTGTGAGTTACTATAAAAAAATTTTGTAGCAAACTTTACTATTCTGTTATATATATTTTATTAGAGTATTCAATAAACTAATTTAATCAAAACATAGTTAGGGTCATTAAGTTCGGATTTTTTCACATATAAATTTATATATGAATTTGTACTATTTAGATATATTTTTCTATACAACTAACAGACAAAATTGTACCATATATTTTTTAAACTATAGTTCTAAACTAGCTCTACACTGTAACAAACCCAGTTTTTAAATAATCTATATTATTTATTAATAAAAATTTATCTAAATTTTATCAAAAGTTATTAAAAAACCAGGTTTGTTACAGTGTAGAGCTAATTTAGAACTGCAGTTTTTAAAAAAATATATACAATTTTGTTTGTTGGTTGTATAGAAAAATGTATCTAAATTAATATATAAAATTACCCTTTAAAAAATCTAAAATTAATAATTATCATATATGACTCTAACTAAGTTTTAATTAATTAGTCTATTGAACACCTTAACATTTCATGTATATTATTAATGTTATTTATATCTCTGTCAATTTAATATCTGCAAAATGCATATATAAACAAAAGATAGTTTTAAAAATCATAGATGACAACTGAGGATTTGAATAATATTCACATTTCAATTTCACATATTGATTATTAATTCACAGATTGATTGCAAATTACTGAATTATAACAATCCATATAAAATTAATTATGTAAACAGCTAATTTAATACAACAAATCAAATTTAATAAAGATTATATCAGTATAACCAAACATCAATTTATAATATTAGAATTGTAGAGTATATAGTTGGTATACAAGAAATGTTATTTTAAATTTGTATATACTAACAATTTAAAAATTAGGATCAATTAATTAATCAATTGATTAATTGATTAACCCAATTAATCGATTAATTAATTAATTAATTAATTAATTTAGTTAATTAATTAATTGTGTATCATAATGTTTTGGGCAAAATTGTTTTTCATTTCAAAAATATTTCAGATTTAGCAAGGTGGTCTGAAATAAAAATTTCAAATTCCGAAATCAAGACGAAAATCTGATATAAATCTGATAAAATCTAATACTTCTAATATTTCTGATATTATCCAAAATTCAATTATAATGATAAGTGGTGTGAAGTGTTATTTATTTCGAATACTGTACTTCCCAAAACCGATTTTGTCAAAGTTGATAACCTGTCAAATCTCATAAAAATTAATCCACTAGGTTTATTTCTACTATAGTGCCAGAAGCCTATACTTAACAATAATTTTCAAAATGCTAAAGCTTTTTATACAGGCAATATTTTTAAAATCTGGCTAGTAACTTTGTTCTTCATGATGAGCTCTACAAAGTTACCAGTATAATTTTTAAAATAATGTTTTCATAAAAAGTTTTAGTTTATTTTATATATAAATCTTAATATTTCAATATCAATTTTCAAACTGTTAAAACTTTTTATATAAGAGGCTTTTCAAAAAACTAGCCAGTAATTTTATAGAGTTTATATAGCTCTATAAAATCACTGGCCAGTTTTTTAAAAAATCTTTTGTATAAAAAGTTTTAGCAGTTTGAAAAATTGAAACAAGTCATGTAATTGTCGAGTATAGGCTTCTGGCACCATATTTAAATCTAAATCTAATGACATCTTTTTTTTTTTTTTTTTTATTTCTTCGGCAAGTCTAGTTATGACTTTGGTCCAGCTATATTATAGTTGACTCTATGCTACTAATGTCACAGGACCTCTATAACCCCATACGGGTATCATGTGTATCTACCTGGTATCCATTGTCTGACATTTCCCCGTTTTTCTCATTGGGGTAGGTCCGACCGCCTGCACGACACTCTAGAGAGGCCGAAATACCTTATTCTTGGACCGCTATTTCACAAGCCAATCGGGTGGTGCCACAAGTTCATGTAGTACCCTCTCAGACTTTTTTAGATCTCAC